CCACCACGTGTCATCTTCCCGGGTGCCCTGTCTGTCGCCATGAAGAGCCGCCACGCGTCCTTTCGTGTCCTTGTACCAGCTCTTTCGTCGAAGGGCTACCGCTCGGTGGTTGACATCAGCGCTCGGGCAACTCCCAGCCATTCCCGACCGGGGTCTTCATGGAAAAAGCCCGACCTGCCACCTGAAAAGATCATAAGAGAAAGACAAAGGCAAGTCGGTCGTGGTGGACTTGACATTTATTTTCCTAGCATACTACTAATGTTAATTATTGGTCGAATTGTATAAAGATTATTAACTAATTGGTACTATTCCTAACTTATTACTAATGTTAATTATTGGTCGAATTGTATAAAGATTATTAAGTAATTGGTACTGTTCCTAGCATACTACTAATGTCAATTATCGGCCGAATTGTATAAAGATTATTACGTAATTGGTACTGTTCCCAACATACTACTAATGTTAATTATTGACTAAATTGTATAAAGATTATTAACTAATTGGTACTGTTCCTAGCATACTACTAATGTTAATTATTGGCCAAATTGTATAAAGATTATTAACTAATTGGTACTGTTCCTAGCATACAACTAATGTTAATTATTGGCCGAATTGTATAAAGATTATTAAGTAATTGGTATTGTTCCTATCATACTACTAATGTTAATTATTGACCAAATTGTATAAAGATTATTAACTAATTGGTACTGTTCCTAGCATACTACTAATGTTAATTATTGGCCAAATTGTATAAAGATTATTAACTAATTGGTAATGTTCCTAGCATACAACTAATGTTAATTATTGGCCGAATTGTATAAAGATTATTAAGTAATTGGTACTGTTCCTAGCATACTACTAATGTTAATTATTGACCAAATTTTATAAAGATTATTAACTACTTGGTACTGTTCGTAGCATACTAATAATGTTAATTATTGGCCAAATTGCATAAAGATTATTAACTAATTGGTACTGTTCCTAGCATACTACTAATGTTTATTATTGGTCGAATTTTATAAAGATTATTAACTAATTGATACTGTTCCTAGCATACTACTAATGTTAATTATTGACCAAATTTTATAAAGATTATTAACTACTTGGTACTGTTCGTAGCATACTAATAATGTTAATTATTGGCCAAATTGCATAAAGATTATTAACTAATTGGTACTGTTCCTAGCATACTACTAATGTTTATTATTGGCCGAATTTTATAAAGATTATTAACTAATTGGTACTGTTCCTAGCATACTACAAATGTTAATTATTGGCCGAATTGTATAAAGATTATTAACTAATTGGTACTGCTCCTAGCATACTACTAATGTTAATTATTGACCGAATTGTATAAAGATTATTAACTAATTGGTGCCCCTAGCATACTACTAATGTTAATTCTTGGCTGAATTGTATAAAGATTATTAACTAATTGGTACTGTTCCTAGCATACTACTAATGTTAATTATTGGCCGAATTGTATAAAGATTATTAACTAATTGGTACTGTTCCTAGCATACTAATAATGTTAACTATTGACCGAATTGTATAAAGATTATTAACTAATTGGTGCCCCTAGCATACTACTAATGATAATTATTGGCCGAATTGTATAAAGATTATTAAGGCTATGTTTGACAAACGTAGCTGAAAATATAGCTGAAAGCTGAAAAGTAGTTGAAAGTTGACAAGCTATAAGCTATAAGTTGAAAACTGAAAAGTTATTAACTAATTGATTATGCTTAAAAGTGTTTGGTAAAATTAATTTTCTGATAAGCTGATAAACGTAAAAAGAATAAAAATTATATTTTCATAAAATTAAATGATGTGATTATTATATTATTTTTATATTATTAAATATACGAGATATATTTAATTTAAAAAAAAAATTTGTTTTTATAATATATATGAGATACATATTATATTAAATTAAAACAAAAGAAAAAAATTAATTGGGAATGGTAAATGATGTTATTTATTTATGAACGGATGATTAGAGTTAGAACCTTAAAGGAGTTGCTAGGCCGTGAAGAATTGCATAAGAGGATGAAAAAATATAGGAGAAGAGAAAATTTCAAAAGAGTTTTAATTGAAAATGATAAAAAATGTCATTTATTTAAAATAATAAGAATAAAGATGGAAAAAAGTAAAGTAACTTTTCAAAATAAGCTTTTATTTTAAGCTACTAACTTAATTTGAAGACATTACCAAACAGAACTTATAGTTTATTAGTAACTTAAAATAAATTATAAGTTCTTAAATAAGCTCTGCCAAACAGTGCCTAAGTAATTCGTACTGTTCCAAGCATAATACTAAAGTTAATTATTGATCGAATTGTATAAAGATTATTAACTAATTGGTGTTACTAGCATACTAGTAATGTTGATTTCTCACTTTTTATAAATGTTTATCGCATTTTTAGTAAGAATGAAAAAGTCAATCCAAGAAAAAAATACACGTATACCTACCGCATTAGTCTGTACGACGACTTGGTTTGCGGAATTTGGAGGCATGGGTTTGTTTAGTCACCATTGAAGAGCCCTGAGTTGAAGGTCAAAGATGAATCAGCTGAGTTGCAGTTTTGAGTTAGCAGTAATGGCGATCGAGGAGATGGGTGTGAAGGAATAAGAAGGTGCAGTGTGGGATTTTTGGTTGATTTAGCAGTTACTGAAGTTTTGAATGCGGAGAAATATACCATTTAAGGCCGAAATATAGATTGAAGATTTGAAGGAAAACTCTTCTTATCCATCCTAATTTTTCTTCTCCTAAATTCCCTTCCAGACTTATAATTATTGAGTTAATATCCAAAATCGTCTTCGACTATAGTGGTTTTTCTCAATTTTGTCCTAAACGACTTTGGTGACTTAATGTAGTCCCAGAGTTTTGTGTTTTTACTCAATTTCGTCCCAGACTTTTGTGTTTTTGCTCAATTTAGTCCCACATTTGTTATTCCGTCCATTTGTTGTTAAATAAATAGACAATTCAGTAATTTTAATATTGACATCTCTTTATTCATAGACATGTGAAGTGCGAAATCTCTCTTTTTTTACGAATTACTCCTAGAATCACTTCTAAAGCTACGAATATAAAATTTGATTCGTAGGTCTGAGAGTAACTTTGGGTGTAATTCGTGTAAGAAAGAGAGATTTCTCACTTCGCAGGTTGAAAGTAAAGAGAGGTCAATATTGATATTATTGAATTGTCCCTTTATTTAACACCAATTTGACGGAATAACAAACGGAGGACTAAATTGAGCGAAACATAAAAGTCTGGGACTATATTAGGTCACCAAAGTCGTTTAGGACGAAATTGAGAAAAATCACTATAGTCGAGGACAATTTTGGGTATTAACTCTATAATTATTGGATGTCATGAATTGATTGTCTCCACTAACTTTTAATTAATAAAAGGCTAAATTATCATCCCGCATCGTGAATCATTCCTGATTATTCATGTCGCACAATGATCAAGTGATATTTAGAATCATAAATCATATTTTTTTTTTCGTCTGAAACTTTTTACTGGTTACCGGTAATAATATTGTTGATATAGAATTTTTTATTAGTGTTTTTTGATATTTTTCTTCTTTCGCCTTCGTACTATTATTATTATTATTATTATTATTATTATTATTATTATTATTATTATTATTATTATTATTTGTATTTTTCTTTTTTCCTAAACGTATAGGCTTGCTCGGCGTTTTTCGTTTCTCGTTTCTCCGATCAGGCTTGCGCTTGCTTTGCGGAGTTAGTATCGAAGAAACGAGAAGCGCAAAACGCAGAGTAGGCCTATACGTTTACGAAAAAAGAAAAATAATAAAAAATTATAATACGAAGGTGAAAGAAGAAAAATACCAAAAAAAAAAACTAATAAAAAATTCCATGCCTGCAATATTATTACCGGTAACCTGTAGGAAACCTGTAAAAAGTTCTAGACGAACAAAAAATTATGATTTATGGCTCTAATATCACTTATTAAAGATCATGGTGCGGCATGAATAATCACGAATGATTCATGATGCAGGATGACACGTTAGCCTTAATAAAATAGGTAAAGTAACCAATCAAATTATGACATGTTAGGAGGGAAAATCATGAGATGAGTTTTTTGTAGGTGTGAATAGCATTACTCTTGAATAGTGGGGTGGACTTTGCAAAAGAAAAAATATCGAGGATAGAATTGGTAAGAAGATATGAATGTACAACACAAGAAACATCAAAAGAAAAGTACTTAATGCCATTTTTATTTCTCTCATCAAAGATTAATGTCAAAAGAAAAAATGTGAATGGTAAATTTGTAAAGAAAATAGGGAAAATGGTCAAATAGGCCTCGAACTTTAGCTTAAAAGTCAATTAGGCCCCTAAACTTTTTAAATGTGCAATTACACCCCTCAACAATTTATTTAAGTGCAAGGAAGCCCAAAAATAAATTAATGACCTGCTATCACAGGTCATTAGGGTTCAGGCCACCTTCCGGCGAAAAAAAAAAAAAAGTGACCGGCGAAATTTCCAACAAAAAAAAGTGACCGGCGAAATTTTCGGCAAATCTGGGTCAGTTGCTACTCACCTTTTTTTGCTGGAAAATTCGCTGGAATGTGGCCTGAACCCTAATGACTTGTGATAGCAGGTCATTAACTTGTTTTTGAGCTTCATTGCACCTAAATGAATTGTTGATGAGTGTAATTGCACCTTTAAAAAGTTTAAGGACCTAATTGACTTTTAAGCTAAAGTTCGAGGGCCTATTTGACCATTTTCCCAAGAAAATATAAAGGTACAACACATCTCCAGCAATATCTAAGACTCTTGCACTAAATTGTGTAATGTTTTCCTCTTTTTCCATTTTTAAATTTTTGAACTCTGTTTGTATCATTTGTAACTTGGATTACGATGTGTTTCCTGCGTGATGATTGCATAATATGTCTCATGCAATTTTAGCTATGCCAGTGGTAGCGATTAATTTGAAAGTATCTTCACTTACCGCTCTATAGATGTCGTTCATTGCTTTTGAGTTGAAATCATATTCCATTCTTTCTTCATCGCTCTCCAGTTGGTTTTAGGCTTTCGATTACCTTTATTATCAACTGGATCCTTCCACTCGTTCTCTATAGCATTCCATATGGATGAAGACCAGTAGAGTGATCAAGGCAAAACAACCAGATTCCATGCTTTCTTCTTCAATTCTTTTTTGCATTGCCTGTACTGTAGCTTCTCATCTTCTTTTCAATCCATATTTAAATAAATATTTGCATTGTCTTTTTCTTTCTCACGTTTTCCATTATCATCTATGAATATGAAATTATGAATCATATGTTACGTGTGTATTCAGGGTGATGGTGTCGTGGTGATGTAAAAGTCTAAAGGGGGTTAAAAAAAGGATCGGAGTTAAAGAAAGAAAGATTTGTTGAACTAAGCTATAGCATAGAGCTTTGGACAGAAAGTTGGAGATGAGACAGATAGGAGAAGAAAGAATAGAACAGTGCATTAGCGGGAAGAGATCAGTACATATAGGTTTGAAGGGATGGTTATAACTAACCGGATAAGGGAAAAGACAAAAAAGCCCTTAGAGGCTTAACTGATATAACAGAAATAAAACTTTGGTTTCTTAGCAGATTCCTTAGCTGATTGCTTGTGTATTCTTCATCACCCCCCCCCCCCCCCCATAAGCTGGAGCATGAACATTTTGAAAGCCCAGCTTAGAGTGGAAAACATCAAACAAGGGTTTTGGTAAGGGTTTGGTAAAACCATCTGCAATTTGCTTGTGTGATGGTATAGACATAAGTTTGACTCTACCTTCATGAACCTTCTGTTTTACCACATGACAGTCTATTTCTATATGCTTTGTGCGCTCATGGAAGACGTGGTTCTCCCCTATAGCAATGGCAGACTTGCTATCACAAAATAGAGCAGTAGGACTGTCAATTTTAACCAACAAATCTGCTAAGAGATAAGATAACCATTGAATTTCACAAACTGTAGAAGCAAGTGCCCTATATTCTGCTTCAGCTGAAGACCTTGATATGGTAGCTTGCTTCTTAGTCTTCCAAGAGATGAGAGACTTTCCAAGATATACACAATAACCAGTAACAGATTTCCTGGTTTCTGTGCATGTGGCCCAATCTGAATCAGAGAAAGCCAGCAGCTTAGTAGGAGAGTTGGAAGGATAAAACAACCTTTTTCCAGGAGAGCCTTTGAGGTATCTTAATACCCTATGAGCTGCAATTAGATGTATATCTCTGGGCTTGTCTACAAATTGACTTAGCTGTTGAGTAGCATAAGATATATCAGGCCTGGTATTGGTGAGATAGAGAAGCTTTCCAACTAATCTTCTGAATTCCTCAGGGTTTATTATAAGTTTACCATCTGTGTTGTTGAGTCTTTGGCCTGTTGTGAAGGGAGTCTTAGCAGGCTTAGCATCCAGGAAGTTGTTTTCCTTTAGGATTTCCAGTGTGTATTTTCTTTGGCATAGGTTGATGCCATTGGGAGTTCTGTAAGCTTCAATTCCTAGAAAGTAATTGAGCTTGCCCAAATCTTTGATCTTGAATGAACTATCCAACATTTGCTTCAATTCCTTGATCTGATTATCATTTGTTCCTGCCACAAGTATATCATCTACATACACAAGCAAGGCAATAAAAGATGTTTGTGATCTTTTGGTAAAGAGTGATGGATCTGCTGAAGATTGGATAAAACCATTATCTTGGAGAGTTTTTGTGAGTTTGACATTCCATTGTCTGCTAGCCTGTTTCAAACCATACAAAGATCTCAGCAGCCTGCATACTTGATTGGGCTTGTTACTCTTAAAGCCTGGGGGCAACATCATGTACACTTCTTCTTCCAGATCACCATGCAAAAAGGCATTGTTGATGTCAAGCTGCTGGACATCCCACCCCATGGCAACAGCTATGGCCAAGAAGGTTTTGATAGTGGTCATTCTGGCCACAGGAGAGAAAGTTTCTATGTAATCCACTCCTAGTTGCTGATTATACCCCTTGGCAACTAATCTAGCCTTATGCGTTTCAATGGATCCATCTGCTTTGTGTTTAATCTTAAACACCCATCTGCAACCAATTGGAGATTTTCCAGCTGGTAAGTCTGCTAAGGTCCATGTGTTATTTTGTATCAGGGCACTGATTTCAGATTCCATTGCTTTTCTCCATACTTCATGCTTTACTGCTTCACTATATGAACTTGGCTCATGAGCACAAGAGATGGCAGAGGCAACAGCTATGGCCAAGAAGGTTTTGATAGTGGTCATTCTGGCCACAGGAGAGAAAGTTTCTATGTAATCCACTCCTAGTTGCTGATTATACCCCTTGGCAACTAATCTAGCCTTATGCCTTTCAATGGATCCATCTGCTTTGTGTTTAATCTTAAACACCCATCTGCAACCAATTGGAGATTTTCCAGCTGGTAAGTCTGCTAAGGTCCATGTGTTATTTTGTATCAGGGCACTGATTTCAGATTCCATTGCTTTTCTCCATACTTCATGCTTTACTGCTTCACTATATGAACTTGGCTCATGAGCACAAGAGATGGCAGAGGCACAGAACTTGTGATCAGGATTCAGATTATCCAGGGAGATGAAGTTGTCTATGGAATGAGGGGAAGGCTTTTTGTTTGATCTGTCTGAGATCATAGTCTGGCAATAATAATCCTTCAATTTGAAGGGAATGTGCCTCATTCTTGCTGATCTCCTAGGTTGATCAACAACCATATCATCCTCATTATCTTCATTATCAATAGCCACATCAGTCAGTTGATCTGATTGTTGATATATAGTTTCATCATTGACCCCTTCATTTTCTAGATCACCTCCATGTCTGATTTCCCTATCATCATCTACATTGGTCTCAGCAGGTGCAGGTCTCTGCCTGTAATCTGGAGGAGGGAAACCATCATCAACAGAAATGGGAACCAAAGGTAGGGAAGGATTGAACACCTCAGTTGTGCCATGTTCTTGATCTCCTTCTGAGCCTGACTTTTTGAAAGGATATGTTTGTTCATAGAATCTAACATCTCTAGAAATGAAAACATCATTGTCAGTGAGGTCATATAGAATAAAACCTTTAATATTGGCTGGAAATCCCAGAAAAATGCATTTTCTTGCTCTTGGTAGCATCTTGTTTCTTCCTTGTGCAATAGTAGCACCAAAGCATAAACAACCAAAGGACCTTAGCTTATCATACTCCATGTCCTTTCCAGTTAGGATTTTTAAAGGAGTGTTGCCATCATTTACATCAGTGGGCAATCTGTTTATGAGATATGAAGCATGCAACACACAATGACCCCAGAATTGTGTAGGTAAGCCAGACTGAAACTTTTATGCCCTTGCTACATTTAAAATGTGCTGATGTTTTCTTTCTGCTATCCCATTCTGTTGAGGTGTATACACACATGACCTTTGATGCACAATTCCCTTATCATTATAAAAGGCATTCATCATAAACTCACTTCCATTGTCAGTTCTAACAGTTTTGACCTCTGAAAAACTATTTTGACCTCTGACTTAGCCTTCATTAAATGTAACCAGGTGAACCTACTATGATCATCCACAATAGTTAGAAAGTAGTGTTCCCCTTTGATAGATGGCATAGCAAATGGTCCCCATGTATCCATATCTATTAAGTCAAAACATTTCTTAGTTCTATTACTACTGACAGGGAAGGTGGACTTCTTGTGTTTAGCAAAATGGCAAATATCACACACAAAAGTAGGACATTTATTCACAGAATCAGACTTTATTCCATGTAAAGGAAACATCTTATTAACAGGATAATGGCCAAGCCTGTCATGCCACAATTTGGCTGCTAAACTATTACACTGCATACTATGATCATTAGTGAGCTGACTTCTTTTCCTGACATGAGGATTACTGATCACATAAAGCCCATCTCTCTCCTTAGCAAAACCATCCATCACTCCAAGAAGGCCCTGAATGGCACAAGAGTCAGCCCCCATCACAAGTTTAAGACCTGATTGTTTAGATAGTTTGCTGACAGATACAATGTTGAAGGTGAAAGATGGTATATATAACACATTCTGCAGTATTAACTTTTCATCCAGTTTAACTTGTCCTATGTGTGTGACATTCACTGTTTCTCCATTAGATAGTTTCACAGAGATTCCCTGAACTCTATAGCATTTATCAAAATATTCAAGGGAGCATGTAATGTGGTCGGTTGCCCCTGAGTCTAGTATCCACAATGCAGGTGAATTTAACACTGTACTAACCATATAAGAGTTAGAAATAAACCTGCCTCCATTGGGGTTATTCATAGAGTTGCTGAAGTCTGATTTCATCTCAGGAGTGGCAACTGTTACAGTAGCAGCACCTATTGATCCTTGACTTCCCTTGTTTTGATTCTGCAAGAAAGACAATAGTCTTTGAAACTGGTCAGTAGAAAGACCTACATCCCCAACCTGGTTAAGGCAACTGTTGGTGGCTTGCTGCATGTCTTGAGTTTGTTTGTTCTTAGACTTGTACCCTGCTAGTCTGCTACCCAACCTGGTGAATATCCATGCTTCTTGTAGCATTTCTCAATGGTATGGCCAGTCATACCGCAGAAAGTACATTTAGGAACATTTTTCCCTCCATTATTGTTGAACTTCTTTCTAGTGTTGGATGAGGACATTGCCACAACACTGAGTTCTTCTTCAGACTGTGCTTGATTGTTTTGAATGGCATTTGACTGGATGATATCAATGTTCCTTTGACTAACTAAGCCCTTAATCTTTCTTTCCACCTTAAGAGTCATGTTCAGGACTTTTTCCATCTCTGGCATGGGGTCCATAACTAGAACACTTGACTTAATTGTTTCATATTCATCATTCAATCCCTCAAGAAATCTTATCACCTGATCATTGTCCCTTTCCTTCCGCATTCTAGTCATAAGAGTGCAGGAGCATCTGGGAGTACATTCACACATCAACAGAGGTCTCAATGCATTCATCTGTTGCCATAAGGCATTACATTTGGTGAAATACTCATTAACCGACATGTTACCTTGAGTATTTCTAAAAATTTCATTCTGGATTTCTAAGATTCTATGAGGATCGGATTGTGAGTACCTCTTGTTGAGCGTTTTCCAGATGTCAGAAACTCTATCGAAGTACATGATGCTCTCTGCGATGGTAGGGTTGATAGATTTCAGAATCCACGAGCAAACAATGCGATTGCTACTTCTCCCTGCTGCAATTTTAGGATCGGATTCCTCTGGACAGGCCACAGATCCATCAACAAAGCCAGACTTGTTCTTGAATTCAAGAGCAATCCTCATGGATCTGCTCCATGAGGCATAATTGATCTCTGAAAGAGGAGGGGAAACGAGAATCAAATTAGGATTCTCGCTAATATGCAGGTATAGAGGATCGTCGACATCATCACTTCGCTGGTTCATCTGATTCTGACTTGACGAAGCTGCTGTATGATGAACCTGGTTTCCGCTGCCGGAATTATCCATCACGACTGCCGCCGCGTAGCTCCGATGGAGCTCTGATACCATGTTGAACTAAGCTATATCATAGAGCTTTGGACAGAAAGTTGGAGATGAGACAGATATGAGAAGAAAGAATAGAACAGTGCATTAAGCGGGAAGAGATCAGTACATATAGATTTGAAGGGACGGTTATAACTAACCGGATAAGGGAAAAGACAAAAAAAACCCTTAGAGGCTTAACTGATATAACAGAAATAAAACTTTGGTTTCTTAGCAGATTCCTTAGCTGATTGCTTGTGTATTTTTCATCAAGATTTCATTAAGTTGATTGATTGTTGCCAACTACCATGTAAAGTGTGATTACATCCCGGTTATCATTTCAGATGGATGGTTATATGTTCAAACTGCGGTGGTGGGAACTTAGATTCTTTGGGCTGAAAATATTTGAGAGAGTAAGTTGATTGTTCAACTCTACTAATAAAAGTTATGTTTACTTAACTAAATAATAATAAAAAATAAGACTTGATTTAAAAAAGAGTTATGCAGCAGAAAATATAATTGGTTTCCAAAATGCAGCAGTTAATGAAGTTTGGGATTTTTGGTTGTGAAGGAATAAGAAGGTGCAGTGTGGGATTTTTGGTTGATTTGCAGTTAATGAAGTTTGAATGCGGACAAATATACCATTTAAGGCCGAAATATAGATTGAAGGAAAACTCTTCTCACCCTTCTTAATTTTTTCAATGTTGCAAAAATTACGCCTAGGTATCGGCGCCTAGGCTCTAGGCGGTGGCCAACCCCCTAGAATTTCGGCGGAAAGGGCGTTCTAGGTGGCCTAGGCGCCGACTAGGTCGCAACAGACTAGGCGGGCGTTTAGGATACCGGTTAACTATTTTTCTGTGTTTTTTAAATGGGTTATTTCACTCAAACCTATATCATTTTTTGTGAAGTAACCCTAAATTGTTCAAATCGATCGCAAATCCAAAAAAATTTAATAAAAAAATTTGAAATCAGGTACTCTAATATATAGTACTAACTATTAAAGTATTAACTATTTTATAATTGCCAAGTCTTAAATAATTTTTTTAAAAAAAATCTTTTAAATTAAATTAAAAAATAAAAAACGGGCGCCTAGTCGCGCCCGATGAACGCCTAGTGATTTTTGCAACCTTGAATTGTTTCCCTCCTAAATTCCTTTCATGACTTATATAATGAGTTAATACCCAAAATCGTCCTCGACTATAGTGGTTTTTCTCAATTTCGTCCTAAACGACTTTGGTGACCTAATATCGTCCCAGACTTTTATGTTTCGCTCAATTTAGTCCTCCATTTGTTATTTCGTCAAATTGGTGTTAAATAAAGAGACAATTCAGTAATGTCAATATTGATCTCTCTTTACTTTCAACTTGTGAAGTGCGAAATTCCTCTTTCTTGTACGAATTACACCCAGAATTACTCCCGGACCTGCAAATCAAATTTTATATTCGCAGTTTTAGGAATAATTCTGGGAGTAATTCGTAAAAAAAAAAAGGATTTCTTAGTTCACATGTCTATGAGTAAAGAGATGTCAATATTAAAATTACTAAGTTGTCTATTTATTTAACACCAAATGGACAGAATAACAAATGAGGGACTAAATTGAGCAAAAACACAAAAGTCTGGGACTAAATTGAGCGAAACACAAAAGTCTGGGACGATATTAGGTCACCAAAGTCGTTTAGGACAAAATTGAGAAAAACTACTATAGTCGAGGACGATTTTGGGTATTAACTCCTTGTATAATTGTTGGATGTCTTGAATTGGTTGCCTCCACTAACTTTTAATTAATAAAAAAGGTAAAGGCCTTGTTTGGTAAAATGGTTGTTAGCTGATAGCTGTTAGCTAATTGTGTTAATTAGAGGGTATAAATAGTTGATAACATTAGCTGATTGTAGAAAAGTATTTGGTAAATTAGTTGTTAGCCGATAGCCGTTTGATATACTTTCTTTTCTTAAAAAGCTAATTGAAAAAGTTGTTTGGACTAGCTTTTTGAATTTTAGCCTTTTGGAGTTACAAAAAGCTAATTAAGTAAATATGTATATTGATGTTTTAACTAAATCAAACAATTAATAGTGGTCAAATAAGTCAAAATTGACTTATAAGCCAATTTTTTACCAAACAGGGCCAAAGTAACCAATCAAACTATGCCATGCTAGGAGAGAAAATTATGAGGTGAAAATTTTTAGGGGTAAATAGCATTACTCTTGAATAGTGGGGTGGACTTTGTCTAATAACATTGAAGTGTACAACATTTAAAGTAAAATGTATACATTTATTAGCATACAAAAGAGGGACATAAATCAAGGATATAGGCCCTGTTTGGTAAAATAGTTAGCCTATCAGTCAATTTTGACTTATTTGACCACTATTAATTATTTGACTTGGTTAAAAAAATCTATATAAGTGTTTGGTAAATTAGCTTTTTGTAACTCTAAAATGCTAAAATTCAAAAAACTGTTCATAACAACTTTTTGAATTAGCTTTTTGAGAAAAGAGATTATACTAAATAGCTATCAGCTAACGTTAATTTACCAAACACTTTTCTACAATCAGCTAAGAGTATAACTAGTGACCTTTTAATCAACCCAATTCCAATCAGTTAACTGTTAACAGTCATTTACCAAACAGGGTCATAACATTGATTGAAACTTATTATGTTTTTAGATATTTATTTAAAGTATAATATATGCATTAATTTTTTACCAACAAAATATTCTTGTGTTCATTTATTATGTTCTCAATGTAAAAACTCTAATTAAAACATAAATAAAAATTGTAACAATAAATTTATGAGATACAATAATCTTTCTTATCATCAAAAATCAAAATTTAAAATTATATATAATAGTTATAAGATTTATGTGTATGTTCATTTACTCCAATCATATAATTATACTCTCTTTTATTTTTTTAATTTAGTAGACATTTTTAATCATACACCGTAGGTATTCATAGGTAGTAGATATTATACAAAGAAATATTTTTCATGTGCAGTAAAATTGGCTGCCTGCAGCGCCGGCCAGTGCAGTAAAGAGCTCAGCTCGTACAAATTTAACTGTACTATCAATGGATAAACTTGCTTTAGTTTCTCTTCTTTTCTTGTGTGTGTGTGTGGAATCTCACGTTTTCCATTATCATCTATGAATATGAAATTATGAATCATATGTTACGTGTGTATTCAGGGTGATGGTGCCGTGGTGCTGTAAAAGTCTAAAGGGGGTTAATAAAATTTTAAAAACTAAAAAAAAAAAAAAATGGAGTTGAAGATTGATTAAGTAAGTTGATTGTTCAACTCTACTAATAAAAGTTATGTTTACTTAACTAAATAATACTCCCTCCGTCCCGAATTGGTTGTCTCATTTGCTTTTTGCACGCTTTTTAAGGAATTAAAGTAAATGTTATGTATTTTCCAATTATGCCCTTCACTTTTTCACTTTTGGAAATAAAAGCAAAAGTCATAAGGGTAATTTGGGAAAAAGTAGAATGATGGTGATGTTCAATTTTGGAAAGAGGACAACATTTTGGGACAAACTAAAAAGGAAAGTAAGACATGCAAAATGGGACAGAGGGAGTAATAAAAAGTGCCAAGCACTTTATGTTTAGATGGTATGTATGACCTTTTCCATGTGAGAGGTCATGAGATCAAGTCTCAGTGGAGACATTGTTGACTCTTTTGTAAAAAAAATGGAGCAGAAAATATAATTGGTTACCAAAAATTAGTACATCACAAGAATATAGAACAATATAAAATATGCAAGTAGAGTACTTCTTATCTATAAAAATGTAAATAGACATTAAAATTTATAGTGCATAGTTCGATAATGATATAATTCTTTTTCACTTTTTTTTTTTAATCTCTTCCCGGAGGTAATTCACTTATAATTCTATCCACCCAACAAATTGTGTACAAATTAAGCCAAACAAGTGCAACGTTGATCACCAGGATTATGTGGTCCAATGGTACCTGAGTTGGACTTCTATTTGGAAGGTTATGAGTTCAAGTGTTGAGAAAGTATATGAACAGATATTACATTGTAATAGAGTCAATTCAATTATGGTTTCATATTATCAAATTTGTTATTCACACTATTTTATCTACATTAATTTATTTCCAACTCGATATCAATAATAATAATAATAATAATAAATAAATAACTACCACAAAACATATATATTTACCAAAATTAATGCCAATATATGCACTGTAGAATAATGACACTTACAGATACTAGAGAGAAGTAAAAATACGCAGAGTAACAAAAATCATCATTATAAAAACATACATGCATTCTGGTTAGGTCATATATCAATAGTTATTGCGTGGACCGTGATCCACATAGTTGTGTAGATCATGGTCCAAAAGCCACGTCCTTTCAAAATATAATGTATATTATTTTAACACATAAAGTACATTATTTTAACTCATAATATATATTATTTTAACTCATAAAATTCAACGACATTGTTTTGAACTAACCATGTGTACCACCGTCTACACCTACAATAATTTTCCGTCCTATATAGATAAGAACAAAAAGAGTGGGCACGTTTTGCACGAGATTACAGGCCAGGGAAGAGATAGATCAATGGCATGGGTGAAGAGCTCTATGGATATAAATAGGGGGACTGTGTGGGGAGTTTCATCATCACCAGTACTTTAACAAAGAATTATTTCCTAGAAAAAAAAGAGAGAGAGAGAATTGAAGATGAGCGGCATAGCTGAAAGATGGAGGGTCCTAAGTGGGAGTGATAACTGGGAAGGGCTGCTAGACCCTTTGGATTCGGATCTCCGCCGCTACCTCATTCACTATGCAACCATGATTGCACCCGTGAGCGAGTCTTTCATAAACGAACCAGCTTCCAAAAATGTGGGGTTACCGCGATATGCCAGGAAAAACCTCCTTGCCAGGACAGGAGTTGTCAAGGGAAACCCTTTCAAGTATATATGTTATTAGTTGTTATGCTTTAATTTACTTACATAGTTACATACTGTTCTTGTTGGGCGGAGACTGACCAGGGATCGAGTCTCACCAGCAGCAGTGTGAGAGCAACCTCTCAAAGTGAGGGGGGCTTCTTGTGCGCAGTGAGCACCGGTCTAGCCTCTGTGGTTCATGTTCAGTTGAGTCACCATGATTTACATCCTCCCAAATGCTCTATCGGACCGGGATGTGAGGGGCCCTTAGGGTTGAGGTTCAGCCTTTGGAAGAACAATTGGTAGTTAGGGGATTGCTGGGTGGAGGCCAGGCGAAGTCCAACAATTGGACGGAGGCCGGTTAAAACCAAGTCCAGCACTTTACCTCTGGACAAATGGACAATTTGTGATTAGTTATAACTTTTGACATATGTGTTGACTGTTGTTACGTTTCAGATATGAAGTGACGAAATACTTCTATGCACCATCAACAATAAAAACCCCAGAAGCAGGATATAATGTGAGGGCGGCGCGGTCTGATGCGGTGCTAAAGGAATCAAACTGGATTGGATATGTTGCTGCGGCGACGGATGAAGGAAAGATTGCATTAGGGCGGAGAGACATTCTGATTGTTTGGAGGGGAACAAAGCCAATATCAGAATGGAAGGCCAATTTTACATTCTCTTTAGTCAAAGCTCCCTTAATCTTTGGCCAACATTCTCTTCCTCTCGTGCACACGGGTTGGTACGATATGTATACCACCATCAATCAAGATTCAGCATTGAATCAAAAGAGTGCCAGAGATCAGGTATATATATATGAATCAATTGTTATACCATGCATGCATCAGGGTTCCTATTGTGTTGTAAACTCTGATAAAAAAACTATATGTCTATACAGTTAACACATTCTATTTTGCCGTTCACAATTTTTGTACTAGTAAACAAATTGAAGACACACATAACATGTTAATTACAAACACAAATTGTTAACTACAGATACAGAATATGTTAACGGTAGATATATAATATGTTAGTTAACATGTTATATGTGTCTGCATTAACATATTCTGTACATACATTAACAGTGTGTTTATAGTTATCATATGTAGTTACCATGTGATGTGTCTTCAATTTGTTTATATGTATATATGTACATAAACAGTTAGGCAAACTATTGTGTGGATTATGTTCCACATAGTGTTATATAGTGTTACATGGACCATAAGAAAAACTAAAATTTTAATATACTAAAAGTATATTATTTGTATACTGAATATACATCACTGTTGTAAAAATCGGCCTAGGTGCCCCTAGGCTGTTCCGCTTTCACTATTAGGTGCCCAAAAATCGGTCGGGTGCCTAGGCGGCGAGATCGGCCTAGTCGGCTAACTCGATCGAGTCGGTCGATTTTAGCCGATGTCGTCTGGTTCGTCAGTAGACTAGTTTGATACTTTGAATCTTTAGATGATTGAAGTATTTGAGTATTTTTATTTTTTAATATTATTTTGATGTTATGACTTATTAATTATCATTATTTCATTTATTTGGATGTGTTATTTGATTGAATGTTGAAAACAACCTCATTAAAATTGTCAAACTGTAAGTCTGCCACTATTTTTTTGGCGCCCGCCTAGATTCCGCCTAGGCGCTAGGCGCTGCCCGTGCTCCCGACTATTGCCTAGCGCCTACTGCAACCATGATATACATTATTTGATAATATGGTCAATACAATAATGATTGAAACGGTCAAGAATAGGAATTTGAAAGTAATTTTTAAACCAGAGTCCACAATGCAAGATAAATCCTAGTCCATGGTATAATTTGTCAATATAAACCCGGCCGCCAGGCCCCATTCTATAATGAAACTACTACTTACTTCCATTATATATATATATATATATATATATATATATATATATATATATATATTTGGTTTTTCTTTAATTTGTGTATGTGTGTATGGTATATATAGATTCGAGAAGAAGTTGCAAGACTTATTGAATTATACAAGGGCGAAGAAATTAGCATAACTGTGACAGGGCACAGCTTGGGTTCAGCTCTTGCAACACTGAATGCAGTAGATCTAGCTGTCAATCCAGTCAACAAAAACCAGCAGGATAATAATGTTCCTGTCACTGCTTTCTTCTTCGGAGGCCCCAAAGTAGGGGACCAGAATTTCAAGGATGCTTTTTCTAATCAAGGGAATCTCCGAGGCATGCGAATCTCGGACGTCAATGATCTTGTCACAATGGTTCCCTGGGGTTCCCAAGTTGGTGGTAAGAACATACTTTACGAAGCTGTGGGAGTGGGTTTCATAATTGATTCTAAGAAGTCGGAGTATTTGAAGCCTGGCCTCGACATCATGGTCCATCACGACTTGATGTTTCATATGCATGGAATTGATGGATTCCAAGGGTCTCGGGGAGGGTTTGAACCTAAGGGAGACTTTGACATTTCCAAACTTAACAAGTATCGCCAGGGTTTGAAGGACGAGTATCATGTGCCAGTGGCGTGGATGAACGTAAAGGATAAAGGAATGGTTCAACAGGAAGACGGAACTTATATTCTGGACGACCATGAGGTGGACGAAACATTTTAAGTACAACTGTTTCACGTAGTGTATGTTTGAATAAAGTCTCCATGACCCTTAGCTTTATGGTATTTAGTCGTTGTGCTTTCAATAAGATCGGAGGCAACTAGCAGCTTGTGGCTAGTTGTCTACCTGAATGTATGCATGTGTGTTAGAATTTGTTTGTTAGTTTTGGAATTATATTATGTCTCAATGGTATGATATCGTGTTTCTCTGACGTAAATCCGGCTTATGTAGTGACACAAGGTAGGTAATAAATAAGTTTCTACCTGCCACTCTCATATATGGTTCAAAAATCTAAGGCAATCGTTAGGCCGGTATAAAAGAAAGGAAATATTTGGTGGCTTAGCTTAATTAGTTGAGAGGTCGAAAGTAAATAATCAATTAAGGTGTGTAATTAAAGAAGAATTTATTAGGATCGGAAAAATTATATCTTCTTCTACTATAATAATAAAGCAGAACCAAAATTTCCCGACAAAGTACTTAGTCAAAACCGGTTGTTTAAGCCTTTTCGTTTATCAGCTTTGTAATATTTAGGCCATATATTCGATTGGTATTCCTATAGATAATTATTTTTGGCAATTAAATTGCATTAATTATGAATCTTTAAATATTCCGGGCTTCCGGCACGTGCATGCGAATAACAGAATAGGGAAATATAACAGTCCTTAAATATACATCGTTTACCCAATCGACGCAAACCTTTAGAATAGAGATGTTTGCGTTAATATAAATACATGTATTGGTTTCACAAGACTTCAGACAACACTCCGGAGGCAAATATGCTCATTGCTGATTGTAAGGCCTTAAGCATGTCCTTTGTGAAGGCAATCAGTGTGCTGATTATCTTGCTAACTTGGGGCAAGGCGCATCATGGGGTACAACGATCCTCGATCAACCTCCTGAAGACCTCAAGCCGCTCTTGGTTCGTGATGCCAACAATGTAGCTTTTAGTAGATTTCATTAACACCCTGAGGATTCGGCCCTTTTCCCTACCAATAAATAAAAATACATGTATTGGTTTAGAACTCAAACACCACCAGTTAAACAAGGCATACACAATTTCCATCCGATCTCACATCAGAACGTATCCACTAATCCACCCTACATTCTTAGTTGTGAGATTTCACATGTTTGGAGTGCAATCAAGGTGAGAGTGGTTCACGCACATGATGTTCCTGAAAAGAAAGGTAGAGGTGTCATCAAGTTTAAATAAGTAGTCTTCCATGATTCTCAGGTATTCTTTCTTTTCGAAAGTTATTCCTTAGATATTGTAGTTTTTATATATGTATTTATATAAACAGGGAACTGTTGTCTATTGTCAGTTTGTCACATTCCTAAGAAACATGTTGAGAAGTGGCTTACAAGGTTTATGGGGTGAAGAATTTTTTGGTGATTACAAATATTTAGACATACAGAAATTAATTTTGTGTGTTTTAACATTTCATTTTTTTTTTTTTTAGCATTTTGGTGATAGTGATGAAGGTGAGAGTCATGTCGTTGTTTGCACTGTAGGCAATTCAGAAGCTGTGGGATACAGTTCAGTGGTTAAGAGGAGTCTTCAAGATGAGTTTTCATCCACACAAACATCCAAAAACAAGCAAGTGTCTATTATTGTCAAGCTTGAAGGGAAATGACTATGTGTGTTGTTTCAAGACAATCATGCCTGGTGGCATTCACTTTTGTTCTATTTGATGTTGGTTATTTAAAACAATGTGGCTGATGATCTTGGCTTTGTTTTAACAATTGTGCCTGGTGACACAGATTCTGAAGTTTATTTACTGTTTTTACCACAGATATCTGCATTGGTTGCCATTTCATATTTTTTTTCCCATTTTTGTATTTACTTATATGTTTTTAAGTTCTGTCTTTATATACTTTACTACTAACTATTTGATTTGAACGCTGTTCTTAAACTCCAGCACCTAACATATTTTGAAATATATAGTGTTCTAATCTTTATATACTTTGCCCTTGCTTCTTTTTATAATTTCAAATGTATCCTTGATTTATTTTATATGTAATTTTTTATTTTGTTAAATACTTATATTTAAACTTTGTATTATTAAATATAAATTATACAATTTTAAAGATCTTATTGAAACGATTGAAACAAGACTAATATTGAATATATATTAATTAAAATTTCAAATGCATTGGTTGAGTATTTGTGGAAACGATATAGTAATTCTGATAATTAAATGTGCCAGATGTTTATGGGATAGTATTATTTTGGAATAAACTAAATTTTCAAAAATATAATTAAATTTGATTGTTTTAAAATAATTAATGTTATAAAAATTAATGTTAATAAAAATTACTATTCACATCACAAGTTAGATTTTATATTAAACTAATTAAGTTCGAACTAAATTATATTAAACTAATTAAATTCGAAATAATAATTGAGAAATCAAATTATTTTAGTGTAGAAATTTGGTATTTTGGTGTAAATGTGTTAAGAGATTAATAAAATTTGGTGTGAGAAATTTGATGTGAAATTTGGTGGAGAAATTTGGGGTCCGTTTACTAACAGAAAATTGTTCTATGTTTTCAGTTTTCTAATTTTTCAGTTTTCATTCTTTGTTTTACATTCTCTATTTTCTTTTTAGAAAACTTGTTTACTAACACTTATTTTTTCAAATTTATTTTTTTAGATTAACTTATAAAATTAACACAAGTTTAATTCCTAATTAACACAAGTTTAATTCCTATTGATTTTTAGATCTTATGTTTAAAATATTTTTACATATGTTTAGTTTAAATGGAATAATTTTTTATTTTTTATTTTTTACTTTTAAGTCTAATATATGTAAGTTCATCTAAAATTTAGTTTAAATAATATTAATATTTTTTGAGCTAATATTTAAAATATTTTTTTTTTGATATTTTCATTTGAATGATATGTATATGAATATATTACTTTTACTTTGAATTCTAATATATGTGAGATTTCAATATCCGATATCTGGATCGAATTTGTAATAAGATGTAATATAATTAAAAATATTTGAACTAATAATCTATTGAGTTCAGTCAAAATCTAAAACATTATATATAGTTTAATTCTTAATTTTGATAATGTAAATAATGTCTAACTTTAAAGTAAGTAGAAAATATATAAGATATTGATAAATAAAATAAGATGATAATAAATGTAATCATAGTAATGTAGTTATAGTGATATATAATTAAATAGATGATCGATGATTCTGTTTCCATTTAAAAAACAGTTTTTAAGAGGGTTTCAGTTTTCCAAAAATTTTCTGAAATTATTTTCAGTTTTCAAAATGGAAAACTGTGCTATTAAATTTGTTTTATGTTTTCTATTTTTCAAATTCAAGAAATTTTCAGTTAATAAACGATCCTTATATTTTGGTGTGAAATGGAGTGAGCAAGGTTGCACAAAATTTTTACCCTTAAGGGGATGTTTGGTTCATGGAAAATGTTTTCCAAAACATTTTCCTTAAAGTGAAGGAAAATATTGTTTTCTAGTGTTTGGTTCATGGAATTCATTTTCCATTGGAAAATGAATTCCTCAAATTTGAGGAAAACAAAATCCTTGGTTGGACCAAGGATTTTGTTTTCCATGGAGGATGGGAAGAAAAAGTGAATAGATTGCCTATTTTACCCTTGCTTTCTTTTTTAATTATATTACTTTTATTAATTTGTAAGGGCATATAAATCTTTATACTCATTATTCCTTACAATTTCAAATCTAACCAAACAATAGAATTAGTATTCCCAGTAATTCTTTTTCCACTAACCAAACAATGAAATTCATCTTCCTAGTAATTGTTTTTCTATGGAATTCCAATTCCACTTCCCTTAAAATATTTTCCGCGAACCAAACGAGCCCTAAATGGTGTTGGTGCCTTCCAATGGTCTTACGTAGAGCTGTCAATGCGGGCTGGGCTAAAAAGCCCGCCAAAAATACGGGCCTAGGTAGGGGTAGCCCGCCCCGCCCCCTTTAGGCCCGCGGGCCCCGCCAAAGCCCGCCTCTTTTTTTTTTTTTTTTTTTTTTTTTTTTTTTTTTTTTAAAAAAATTTTAAATCATGTGTGAAGTGTCCCTAAAATCTAAACTCTAATGTGACTATGTAAATAACTTAATTGCTATCTACTTAAAATACTTATTCACAAAAAATTAACATAAATTCGTTCATCGCAACATGACAACAATGACACCAATAGGGGTAAGTATAATTACCGAAAAACCGATAACCAATAACCGAACCGACGGATAATTTCAATTAACGGTTATAAGGCAAAAAAAAAAAAATCAATTATTCGACTATTCAATTATGAATGTGTAATAACTGTGATCACTGAATAAACGATACTATTATATATATTGTTATATTATACATATTATATATATATATATATATATATATATATATATATATATATATATATATATATATATATTAGTTACTGTATATATACAGTAACTAATATATATATTACATACAGTAACTAATATATATATATATTAGTAATATATATATTAGTTACTGTATATATGCAGTTACTAATATATATATTAGTTATATATATAACTAAAAAAAAAAAAAAAAAAAGGCGGGCTGGCGGGCTAGGCGGGGTGGGTAAAAAAGTCTGTTTTTAAAACGGACTTCAAAAACATATGTCCACCTCGCCTTTTTGGCGGGCGGGGCGGGAAAGCCCGGGGAACTAAACCAATTTTGACGGCTCTAGTCTTACGTTGTAATTTGCCTTTTTCCCATAAGTTGGAGATGGCGTAAAGAGTTTAAAAAGTGATATAGCAGAGGCCAGAGAGTAGTCCCATCCAACAGGCAAAAAAGGGGAAAGTGTGAACAATTTGGAATGGTTTGAGTACTTGGTGTACTGTAGGGTAGCAGATAAAAAAAATATATTTGTTGAGAGTTGATTCTCTAGATTTCAAGCTCTCGTTCTTTCTAGGGAACCCCACTTCTCCGGTGGATGGGACTACTCTCTGGCCTTTGGTGGTCCTATTTTGATGAATTTCTAATTCACGTTTTCCTATTCTGTTCGTCACTATTTGATGATTTCGATTCTGAGCGTATTAAATTATAAGTCCGTTATACTCCTTCATTAAATAGGGTAATATATCTATCTTCCATCAGATATTACCACCCTACACTTCTGCCTCTTAATTTTCCCCTCGCCTTAGGCCATTTTCGGCAGCGGACTCCTCTCCGCTGCTGACCCGTTTGGGGCTTT